TTTCCTAACGTACACTAGATTTTGCGAATGTGGATGGTGTTTTATGACCCATAATCTCAGTTTCATTGCATGAGAGATCAGGAACAAGGGAAATGAATGCTTTGCTGGACATTGTGAGCATCTTTTGCCTCCTGTAGCTTCTTCAGTCAGTTTTGGTTAGAAGGAAAAAATATTTTTATTGCAGTGCAGGAAACGGAAATAGTTTTTTAGAAACTGAAATGGGATTTGGGATGAATATTTTGTTATCTGATCCTTCTGTTCCAACTGAAGCATTAAATGAAAACAGTTTGATTACAGTTCCATGCCAAGTCATGCCCTCTCTTCTAACAAGTCACATATTAACTATCTCACTGTACCTGCATACTCCTTATACAGTAATTTCAATACCCTCTCATTTCAGCGTTGCAGTCTATTTCTCTGCAATTACTGTTCGTATTGAAATAATTCATTACATAGCCTTCCCTCCATGCACGTTCTACATGCTTTACAGTTTTTGTGACTGTAAGCTTAACAAATCTTGTCTGAGTTATGTGCCATTTTCTCTTCTTTAATAGTTAATATTTAACTGAATTTTGTTAAGTGTATAAGTGTTCAGTCTGTTTTCAGATGAAGGATGAATGTTTTCCTGTAAATCAGTTTTTAAGTCTTCTAAGCACTGAAAAGTCTGGCAAACAATGCTTGAAAGAAGTAAAATCTGTGCTTATTTTGGGGTGCAAAATGGCAGGGGATAAAAGGGGGCAATTCACAATTTAAGTTGGATGAATTCTTCATTAAGTCCATTCTACTTCATGTCATTACATAGCTTCAGCAAGATTTAAACCCTTTGTTTTGGAAGGAAGAGTGACATCTGTAATAAATTATGGTGTCTCTTATTTAAACAGTAGCATTGTTAGAAATATTTTCTTCCTGTATTTCTGTTTCATAAGCCAAATACTCAGCATTTCTCTTATTCTCATAAGTAACCACATGATGGGCTGCCAAGGCTGGTTTATCATTTGCCTTGGAAAAGACATCATATAATATTGCAAGATAAAACATTGGCAGACGGAGGTTTGATCTGTGGGGAAGAGAGGTAAGGGGTTTGCAGAATTTGTGCTAATAGATTGAGGCTTGAATGGGAGTACTACATGCACAGCTCATAACACGAGTATCAGCGAATTCAGCCGGTCTTACCAATAAGGGGCAGAGAACAGTTTATTGCAGCGATCATGTTTCTGCAGAAATGAGACTTGAGTCACTGATTTCATTTGAATTTTTTCATGGCTTTTTCACTTTTTCATTTTCTAGCCAGACCTAACAAATTTCCTTTCAGTGTTTTTTATGAAACATTTATATTTGGACGTAGGTATAAATGTGGATGAATATCTAGCTGTCAAAGGGAGTTCTGATATTAAGGCATACCTGCTTTTCAGTGTGGTATCTGCAGGGACCATTCTTGTTACAATGAACTTGTCATCATAGCAAAGAAAAGAAATCCATACAACCTCTTACTGAGAATAACAAGGTTTTACTAGAGAATGCAATATTTTAGGGCAAGACATGAGTTTGTGTAGACTACTTTTAAGTAGCAAGTACAGAAGGAAAAGCGGCCAAGAATATTGCTGGAAACAGTCATCCAGGGCTGTGTCATACCAATGCGGTCCAGAGCACAATTAGGTGATGCAGAGGTCAACACTTTGACCATCGACAGGTTTTGGGAGGTACTTTTAAGCAGCTCCTATGATGTTGGTGTAATGGTGGATAATTTGCAACTGTTAATGTGTCTTCTGCTCAATCCAAGTACCCAGGAATATATGAGGCTCTGCAGAGCACCTGTAAGAGGCCTGTTGAAAAATGGATTGTTATTTGCCCCAGGCAATAAAATGTATTCCTGGAGTGAGTGTGGGTGATGCAGCACTGGGCTGTGGCCGTGCTGCGAGCCGGGAGCTCACATGCTCCATTCCAGGCTCTGCCCCTGACTCAGCTCTGTTGCCTCAGGCTCTCTAGGGAAAGTTAACTGAGCTCTTAATTCTCTCATTATAAAATGTGGACGTTATTACTTGCTTACTTCGCCATACCAGCCTCACAGGGGGGTTAGTTAATGAACATCTGTTAATGTGTGGAAATAAATGCTGTAAAAGTGCTGAAGTAGTAGTAGTAGTCCTGCTCATACAGTGATGGCATGGCTGCAGGTTGGTAATCTGCAGCTTTTTCTTACGGGATTGTGCTGTAAGGTTATAATAACCATTTTAGCAAGGCACCTGTAGAGCACAGCTTCCCTGTCTCCAAGGTACTCCCTGTGCCCCCGGTACTTGTAAGGTGTTCCAGAGCCCAGGACTGGGACGCTGCGCCAACACAGTTCTTGTGCCCCTGGAGGAGTTTTGTGCACCCCCATGTAACCCAGGTACCTGCAATTCATCGCACGCAGTGCTTGATGAGGGTATTATCTTCCCAACTCCGGTTCACTATCCTCACTCATCTGCCACTCATTAAGAAGAAAAAGATACTGTTCCCTTCTTTAAAGCTTATTGATTTCCTTACCCCCACTCCCCCCCCATCGCTGAATGTCTTAATCCCACTCGGTTTCCTGCAGTGGTGTCAGGAGTGCGAAGCACCACTCACACTGCGCGGAGTGGCCTTTCTCCTGGGCCACTGCAGGCGGCTGCTGGAGCGTGAAGCCCCTGCTCGCAAGAGTTAATTGTTTCCAGCTTTTGCCAGTCTTGGCCTGGTCCTAGAAATCTGGCTGGATGCTGGCGGCTGCCAGGAGCCTCCGTCTCGCCCGTCATGTGAGTAGTGTAAACAGGCCGGCAGCGCTGCCGGGCGAGTGGGAGGCTCGCTAGTGGGCCAAAGTTCAGCGGCTGCATCACGGCCCCGCGGCAGCACCGGCCGAGCAGGCAGTGGCGGGGTT